TCTGTCGGGGTATCCCCTTTAGGGATTGATATGGATTGATATGAGCGATATGAGCAAGCCTCTGAGGGCCTGAGGTGATCCACCCTGTCTGTGGAGGCTCCAATCTCCCTTTTCCTTTTTCTCTTTTCTTTTTTTATTGTTCTGGCTGCGGACCCATTCTGGGGAGCCTCAGTCCGGCTCCTTTGCAATGACTTGCTGTTTTCTGGTCGCCTGTAGCCTCTCTCTGTCGAGGCTGTACTATAGGTAGGACAGATTCGTAATTTTGTTGGGCTGAGGGCTAACCGAGTGACCTGCCTGTAAGGAAAACTGGTGAGGGACATATCTGTAAATACGGGAAAAATACAAGCCCGTACTAACCGAATTTCCTACAGCTAACCTAACTGCGAATAGCAGGCCCGGGCTACCCCTAGGACAGACAGGCCCTACAGGCCTATGCTGATAGACGGTCCTATAGCCTATAGGCGGGTAAGGTAGAGGCCGAGAGGCCGAAACTGAATCGGTACTGGTCAGTCAGTCAGTCCGGTCTAGGTCGAGTCTAGGCTAGTTTAGTCTAGAGATAGGATGGGCACATGGGTTCAGGGCTTTTGGCAGTTGGTACCGATTACATCGCTGCTGCGCTACGCGTGAACCGGAAGTGCTGACGGCTCAGCGTGGAAGGAGACAGGCATAGCCAGACCTTCGGAGCGCCGGCCATAGCTGGGACCTGCGCTGTACTCTGCCAGCACGTAGAGGCTGTAAGAGGTCTGGGCTATTGAGGTCTGCTGGAGGCGAGGGAAGTTGGTGCCCTGCTGGACCCTCGTCCAGAGTGGGGTTCCAGGGTTGTGGTGCTGCAGCCATAGCTGCAGCTTCTTCCTCAGAGGTCATCTGGTCAGGATTGGGTGGCGCTGCTGCAGACTTCCATCCGAGAAGTCCTCCGACACTTCGTCATCTTCAGATACTGTGGCGCTGGTCTTCTTCTTCATCCTCTGAGTGGCGCTTGGCCTCAGAGGCCTGTTTCAGGGTGGCGCTACCCTTTGGAGGCTGTATCTGGGTGGCGCTTGATGTTTCAGGGGCTCAGGTGTGTCACGGGTGGTTACTCGGGGTTGGGGAGTGAAGCGCTGCTCATTTCTGATCAGCGCACTGTAGTACTGAGGTTATCCTGACAATTCGAGACTCTGAGTTCAGTAAACAGTGTGATGCTGGGTTTGGACTATCATCGTTTCATTGTATCTTGGATGTGATCTACTCGGCTTTCCTTTATGACTGGTTGTGAGGATTGAGTGGAGTGAATTGCACTTTCAGTGTACCCTGTCATATCGCATGGTCAAGTTTTCCGCTGTGTTTATCTCTCCCTGTGTGGTGTGATACTCCTATCCTCTCCCCTTCCTTCTGTATACGTATGGGCATACCTGGAAGTCTATGTGAGTGAGTGTTGGTCTTCAGACAACGAACAACCAGAATCATAATACCTTCACCTCTGGCTAGCCAAACAAAATACAGGGCTCCACTCACGCCACGCTCCTCCCCATTATGGCTGGCAGGCCCAAGTGGATGCCATTGATTACTTTCCCCTTTCCAGCGGCCGGAAGGATATACCACCCCTCACGCCTGCCTAAGCTAGCCTCAGCCCTACTTGAAGTATTCTTTCATGCCATGTTCTCCCTCTTTCCACTCTGTACTACGATCTACTTTTTTTTTTTTTTTTCCCTTCCCAAACCCCACCTTGCATCTTCCCTTTTTTTTTTTTTTTTTTTTTGAAAGAAAGAAAGAAAGAAAATTTAGTACAAGCCTACTTCCTTAAACACTTTTCCACCGCTTTACATAGTATTATTATTTAACTCCTCTGCTTCCCCAGTGGAGTTCGAACTCGGGCCTGTATTTCAACAGTTCAGGGGTGTATGCAAGGAATATGAGAGTGAGCGATATACATAAAACCAAATTGCGAAATCGCACAGCTGTCCAAGTAGTCGTGTTCCAAGCAGAGAGTACAAATGCACCGAGAAAACCATCCATATAGAGCAATACAATGAAGTAATGAGCCAATGTTCAAGCCCGTAGGCCACACCAATACAGTATCCAAAGTCGCTCTGCTCTGTCTGGCGCTCAGCGCCCAGCCTACTCTACCCGACTATCCTACCTACAGCTGATTCACGCAACAGGATCACTTCGACTCACGAAGACCAATGTACCTGACTGCCAACACCATCGCCGACCTCTCTTCATGTACCAGGTACGTATCTCGTCACCCTCAATCAGACCTTGATTACCTCACACAGCGCCTCCTTCCCTGAAGACCACCTGATCATCCACTGTAGCCCCTGGCGCCCAGCAGCCCGGCTATGGCTGCCTGCGCCCCGCTGCCCTGCAGCGCCGCACTACACCTCTCGCGCCCCGTCAGTGCCCTTGGCAGCAGCGCAGCATCAAGTGCGAGTGCAGCAGCACTTCCGCATTGCCAGCGCTGGCCAGAATGCCTGGCCTGGGCTGCCTCACTCCTTTTGTGGAAGTGGCAGCCTCCTGGATGCTGCGTGAGGCCTGGCTGGAAGCTTCCAGTAGCTTCCGGTTGGGTCCCAGACCCTGTGCCTAGGCCCGAGACTACAGTTGAGGGGCCTGGGCCCCTTTACAGTTAGGCACGGCCTGAGTCTCTGGACTTGGGCTGTTTGCTGCATCGGTGCAGGGCTCCCAGGCAGGTGCGTCGGCACTACTGCTTTTCCCAAGGCCGAAGGCCTGCTTCCCAATGTATCGGCCCTGCTTTGTGTATGTGTGCCCAGTCGCAACTGTCAAGGCCTGGGCCAACTGTATGACGCAGAAATGTGAGGCTCACACGTCTACCCAACCAACTGGCGTGCTGCGAGAGCCTGAATACCCACATATGGAAATGTCGAATTTTTGCCTCTGACGAATATTCAGGCCTCACCTTCACTTAGGGAGGGCACTTTGGCTTGCTGGGGGCCTTAGCCCAGAACAATGTGATGTCTGATAGTGCCCCTTGAGGGCTTGTTCCTCACATGTATCAATTGAGTTACATAGTCCGGGGCTGGAGTTGGGGGATGGGAATGTGCTGTGGAGGCTCCAATCTAATATTAGTGGGGGGCGGCAATTGCAGGAAAAGGGGTCCTGCATCTCAATGAGCAAAGATCCTTTTTTTTTTTGTTGGGTGGGGGGGGGGGGGCATCCATCCTTCTGGTTAACAGCATTGGTTCGTTTAACCAGATCAAGCAGCAGGGTTTTGGTTGATGTCAACTTTGATGGCAATTTTTTATTTTTTATTTTTAATTTTTTTTTGTTTGTATAACGATTTCTTGCCTGCATGTGGCAGGGTTCGAGCGAGAGGACATTCGTCATGGTCAAGCCGGATGGTGTACAACGAGGCTTGGTATGGTCACCGACTCTCTCTTTTTTTTTTTTCTTTTTTTTTTTTCCTTTTTTTTTTTTTTTGGGGAATGGAAACTAACGACTCTCTTTCTCTCCCCGTGAGGTGTGAGGATGACATTTGCTTTTTTTTGGGGTTATTTTTACTACCCCTCAGGACATTGAACTTCGACGTTCCCGGCGGCAATTTTGGCATTTTTTGAACAAGAATTGTCAGAACCTTATCAGGTTCTGACAAGTAGGGCCTGGCGCTTTTGGTTTTAAAAATGCCGAAAATGTTATCATTATCAGATTCCGACCAGGAATGGCAAAGTCAAACGCCCAAAGGAATATTGTTATCATTACTATTTTTTAGTATTTTATTATATTATATGTCATCAAACTGATATATATAGACGATATATGTATATTGGTTGGCGATATATATTTTGGTTGTATATTATTATACTATCGTACTATCTTACTACTTCTTTTATTTTACTAATGAGATGCTATTTATTAATATATTATTTTAATTTATCTTATTATCAATTAATATTTCATGGCTATGGCATTCAGGCTTACAAGCTCTACACTCCGTGGGTTTATTTTTTAATACCTTAATTAATGTCATTATATCAACTTATCATGATAATAAGTTAATAACTTTGTGTCTCTTAACTTTTCCTTGCTTGCAAAGGATTTTCAATTTCCCTCATGGGCCTCATCCCATTGGTGGTGTCGTTTCTTTTCTTTTCTTTTTTTTTTTTTTTCTTTTTTTTTTTTCCCTTTATGCAAACTCATCTCATTTATTTCCACACCAAGAAGGGGAGGCTGGGAATCCCTCCAGAAACAACCCGGAAAAGTAGTACCCAGTATTTGTTTATTTATTTTAATTTTTAAGGGATTTTGTGCCAGCTGCCCTACTCTGTACCAGGTCCCATACTCTGTAGCAGGTCCCATGTGGTTCTCTCTCGTTCCTCCAGTCTTGTGGGTAGAAGGGATTTTATTTATTTATTTATTTATTTTTATTTTTATTTTTTTTGGTAGAAGGGAATTTGGGCCAGATCACGGACCCTCTCACGTTCACGCACTTTTTTTTTTCTTTTCGAAAGGGCAACGGCTTTGAGAAATGATCATCGAACTGACCGGCCCTAGGTAATTCAGGATTGTAGTATTTTTACTATTTTAGTAAATAATTTACTCATTTGCTTTGGCTGGAGTTTGAACTCAGGTCAGGTCCTTAAATATATTTCAACAGTTCAGTCCAGGGGGGTTGTACCAACTGAGATAGGCCAGTTGGTTGCATGCTCTTTTTTTTTTTTTTTTTTTTTTTTTTTTTAAGGATCTCTTTTCTTGCTCTAGTACTTGGAACCGGGCCCAGCGCCACATCTTACTGTCTGTGCCTCTCTTACTCTGTCTGTGCTTATCTTACTCTCTCTCAGCTGCGCATATCTTCCTCTCTGTCTGCACATATCTTCCTCTCTGTCTGTGCTTATCTTACTCTGGCTGTGCTTACCGTGCTGTTTTTTGTTTTTCGTACAGGTTGGCGATATCGTTGGGAGATTCGAGAGGAAGGGTTTTACTCTGAAAGCGCTCAAGTTATTCCAGTGCCCTAAATCTCTTGCGGAGGTAGGTGTTGGGATACCAGCCTTCCGCCGAGATGGGTGTCTCTGTCTGTGCTTCTCTTCTCTTCTTGTCTTGCTTCCTCTCCCTCTTCCATCGATGCAGCTATGGCTACCAGTGCTCTTTGCATGTCATACTCTATCCTGCCCTCCACATATTTCTTTCCTTCCCTTTGCCCCTACCTCCCCTGCCCCATACTCCTATAGAACTCCACCTTCTATCCCTTACCCTCCACCCACCCTCCCCTCCCCTCCCCTCCACTCCCTTAAAGTTTGTGCGACTAACAAATACATACGAATGACCATCATTAAGAGAACAAACGATATGAAGATAAGAAATGAAATGAACGGAAGTATGAAGATGAAAGACGGACACAAAGACTGTATAAGCTGAAGATCTGAAGTGAAATGAACAGGAGTATGAAGCTGCGAAGAGAAATGCACAGGAGCATACCTTCCCTTTTACTCTGCCGGGCAGCTGCCGCTCCACCACAATCAACGTGGGCAGCCTTGTGCGTAAGAGGCAAGGTAAAAGGGGAGCTGCAAGAACAATGAAAGGGGTACCCCAAGGACAACCAAAAAACTGTCTAATTAAAAAAAAGGTGCTTTAATATGTTGGACTGTGACTGTCTCATCTCAAATCCTCGCGTTGTCTGCAATAGGACACAAAGACTGCTTTGATTCTGAATCTATTCATCTGGGTGGAATTGGGGCTGTTGTGGGGAAAATCTATAGATAGCACACACACACACACACACACACACACACACACACACACACACACACACACACACACACACACACACACAGAGTGTACCTTCAACTCTGCCTCCTTTCATAATGTGCAAGTGAATCGTTAAGGCACCAGGGGATGTGGGCGGCTGGTGCTCAACCATCATCAACGTGGGCAGCCTTGTACGTGCGAAGCACAATAAAACGGGAGCTGCAAGAAGAAATGGAAGGGGTACCCCAAGGATAACCAAAAAAAAACTGTCTAATTGTAAAATTGCTTAAACGTTGGGCTGTCTCAACTCAAGTGCTCTCATGGTCTGCAATAGGACAAAAGCTGCTTCGATTCTGAATCTACTCATCATCTGGGTGGAATTGGGGCTGTTGTGGGCACCATCCTCCTTCCCAATCCCGCTGCCCCCTACCCCATGGCCGACTATCTCACAGTATATGTCTGCCCTTTCGAGCATTCCCGCCCTCTTGCTGCCAGCAATCCAACAACTCTCTCTCTCTCTCTCTCTCTCTCTCTCTCTCTCTCTCTCTCTCTCTCTCTCTCTCTCTCTCTC